CCTTGCCTCTGAGACTGCTTGTTGTAGATTCACCCCACTGTGGAAGCAGCACTTGTTCATCTTCCGCTCCATCTTCTCTAGCATCCCCCAGTAACCCCTGTTTCCTCCATTGGCTGTGTACACGTTCAGCTAAATAAAGACAACATTCTCACGAGGCGAGGACAAGGCGTATGGTGGTACGTCCTCCAAGCCCACTGTTCTGTTGGCGCCGTTCAGAGCAGCAGTTCACTCCTTGCACGGCTTTCTCATGTGCTTCACCAGCTCGTTTTTCCGGTGGTACCCCTTGTCGCAGCGGGGACACTGGAAAGGCTTCTCCCCGGTGTGGACTCTCTGGTGCACCGCGAGCGCCCTCTGGGTGCGCAGCCTCTTCCCACACTGGCTGCACTTCAAGTGCTGCCCTGTGTGGACAAGCTCATGCTCCTGACACAGTTGATGTTCCCGGAAGCTCCTCCCACAGTAGCTGCAGCGGAAAGGTTTCTCCCCACTGTGGATCTTCTGGTGGCTACGGAGGCCGTCCACGCGGGCAAAGGACTTCTCGCACTCGGAGCAGGAAAACGGTTTCTCTCCCGTGTGAACTCGCAGGTGCTTCTGAAGGGCACTCTTGCGGTGGAAGCCGCGCTGGCACACCGTACATTTGTGAGGTCTCAGCTCGCTGTGGATTCTCTGGTGAGACCGGAGGATGGATCTCACCCCAAAAGCCTTGCTGCAATAGCTGCACGGGTAGAGCCGCTCTTTCCAGTGGGTCAGCTGGTGGGACTTCAGCTGGGTGTGGGTGGCGTAGCCTTTCCCGCACTCGGCGCACACAAATGGCTTCTCTTCGGAGTGGACCGTCAGGTGACTCTTTAAGCCCGTGAGCGACCGGTACTTCTTCCCACACTCGGCACACGGGTAAGGCCCCGAGTGGCTTTTCTGGTGATACTGGAGGACCTTCTTGACCGTGAAGCTTTTCCCGCACTTGCTGCACTGATACGGCTTCTCCCCCGAGTGGAGTCTCTGGTGCTGAGTGAGGCTCGCTTTCTCAATGAACCTTTTCCCGCACTCGGAACATCGGAAAGGCCTCTCGCCAGAGTGGATCATGGCGTGCTTGCGCAGGTTTCCCTTCTGGCTGAAGCGTCTCCCGCAATCCTTGCACTGAAAGGGCCTCTCTCCCGTGTGGGTTCTTTGGTGCGTTCTCAGGTGTTCGCTGCGACCAAACCTCCTCCCGCACGCTCCGCAGGTGTACCGTTTGGCTCCAGTGTGGATTTTCGTGTGCAGAGACAAACTTCTGCTGCTGCGGAGGGTTTCCCCACAATAGCTACACACGTAGCCTCTCTCCCGCTTACGTGGACCCTTGCTCGGCTCGGGGCGGGGTCTGAGCCGGGCAGAGACCCTCCTTCATGGCTCTTGCCGTCTGTCAGAGGAGGTCTCTTGGGGCCCCCAAGTTGGAAAAGCGTTGCATCCATCCCCTGCCAAGGGGGGGCGTGGGGGGGTCCCGCTTGGTTTCTCTTCATACCACTCCTGCCCTTGCTGGAGCCTGGAGAGGAGCCGCGGTTTGGCAGTTACGAGGCCTAGAAAAACCAGACTGGCGTAATTGTCGGCTGTCACATCCCGGTACAGCTCCTTCTGAGAAGCCGACAGCATTCCCCACTCTTCTTGGGAGAAGTGGACCGTGACGTCGGCAAAGGTTATGGCGACCTGCGGCGGCCCCCACCGGCCCTTCCTCTTTAGCCCTTTGCACCACTAGGTGGCAAGCTAGACTTGTTTTTAAACAAGAGATGTTTCAGAGGTGGTTTGCCATTGCTTGCCTCTGCCTCATGACCCTGGTATTCCTTGGAGGTCGCCCTTCCAAGTACTAGCCAAGGCCGACCCTGGTTAGCTTCTGAAATCTGATGGGATTGGGCTAGCCTGGGCTACCCAGGTCAGGCCACAAGAGTGATGGTGACTGGTCCAAGGTCACCCAGAGACATTCCAGGGCAGAGGGGAGATTTGAATCTGGGTCTCCCAAGATCCTAGTCAGACCTAGTCTAACCACCACACCTACACTGGCTCCCGAAATGCTTCTGTTTGACTGGATTGTGCTCAAGGACAATGGGAAACAGGATAAAACTCCACACGGGGTTGCCAACATCCAGGTAGGGCCCGGAGTTCTCCCAGAATTCCAGTTGTTCTCCAGATGACAGCAATCATTTCCCCATGAGAAATTGATGCCTTTGGAGGGTGGACTGTATGGCATCTGGTTGGAATTGGAATTCACTGCCACAGAAGGTGGTGGCGGCTACAAGCATGTTCGGCTTCAAGCGGGAATTAGATAAGCATATGGAGCTTATCCATCGGTGGCTATTAGCCACAAGGTATAGATAGGAACTCTCAGGCTGGGGCAAGGGATCCTCTGTATTCTTGGTCGGGGGGGGGCAAGAGTGGGAGGCCTTCTAGTGCCCTGGCCCCACTGCTGGACCTCCTGATGGCACCTGGTATTTTTGGCCACTGTGTGACAAAAGAGTGTTGGACTGGATGGGCCTTTGGCCTGATCCAGCATTGGCTTCTCTTATGTTCTTATGGATAAACATATGGAGCAGAGGTCCATCAGTGGCTATTAGCCAAAAGGTATAGATAGGAACTCTCAGTCTGGGGCAAATAATGCTCTGTATTCTTGGTACTTGGGGGGGGGAGTGGAAGGACTTCTAGTGTCCTGGCCCCACTGCTGGACCTGGTATTTTTGGCCACTGTGTGACAGAGTGCTGGACTAGCCACTGTGTGACAGAGAGTTGGACTGGATGGGCCATTGGCCTGATCCAACATTGGCTTCTCTTATGTTCTTATGGATAAACATATGGAGCAGAGGTCCATCAGTGGCTATTAGCCAAAAGGTATAGATAGGAACTCTCAGTCTGGGGCAAATAATGCTCTGTATTCTTGGTACTTGGGGGGGGGAGTGGAAGGACTTCTAGTGTCCTGGCCCCACTGCTGGACCTCCTGATGGCACCTGGTATTTTTGGCCACTGTGTGACAGAGTGCTGGACTAGCCACTGTGTGACAGAGAGTTGGACTGGATGGGCCATTGGCCTGATCCAACATTGGCTTCTCTTATGTTCTTGTTTGCCATTTAATTATATTGTATCATAATACGCCTGCATAAATCAATGGTGCGACCTCATTTGGAGTACTGTGTACAGTTCTGGTCACCACACCTCAAAAAGGATATTATAGAATCAGAAAAAGTGCAGAAAAGGGCAACTAGAATGATAAAAAGGTTGGAACACTTTCCTTATGAAGAAAGGTTAAAGCACTTGGGGCTCTTTAGCTTGGAGAAACAATGGCTCAGGGGTGACATGATGGAGGTTTATAAGATTATGCCTGAGACAGAGCAGGTCGAGAAAGAGGTACTTTTCTCCCTTTCTCACAATACAAGAACTCGTGGGCACTCAATGAAATTTCTGAGCGGTCGGGTTAGAATGGATAAAAGGAAGTCCTTCTTCACCCAAAGAGTGATTAACACATGGAATTCACTGCCACAGGAGGTGGCGGCAGCTACAAGCATGGACAGCTTCAAGAGGGAATTAGATAAACACAGGGGTCATTTCCTGCAGGAGCGCACAGGAGCAAAGCTCCGGCAGTAAAGAGCCCAGGGGGCGGGCACATGCAACAAGCCCCACCCCCTGCTCCCAGCAGCCCTCAGTCAGAGCAAGAAGCAGCCAGGTAAGCTGCAGAGCCACCCCGGGCCCCAGTCCAAAACAGTCTAGTGGCACCTTTAAGACCAAGTTTTATTCAGGCACAACCTCTCCCTCCTCTGCGAGGACAGATCTACACATTCTACCCCCCCCCCCAATAGCTAGCAATCCAAAACAGTCCAGTGGAGCCTTAGCGGTGGGTGTTGCCATCTGACACACTTCCGGTGATGTCAGGGGTGTGTGGCATATGCAAATGAGTTATGCTAATGAGTTATGCTAATGAGCTCCTGCATCTCTTTTTCTACAAAATGAACCCTGGATAAACATATGGAGCAGAAGTCCATTAGTGGCTATTAGCCACAAGGTACAGATAGGAACTCTCGGTCTGGGTGATGCTCTGTCTTCTTGGTGCTTGGTACGGGCAAGAGTGGGAGGGCTTCTAGTGTCCTGGCCCCACTGCTGGACCTCCTGATGGCACCTGGTATTTCTGGCCACTGTGTGACACAGAGTGTTGTACTGGATGGGCCATTGGCCTAACCCAACATTGGCTTCTCTTATGTTCCTATGTACATCTCTGCTGAGTTCCTTCTCCTCCTAAATCTCTACCCCCCCAGGCTCCACCCCCAAATCTCCAGGAATTTCCCCACCTCTACAGCAAATTGATGCCGGAGAGAGGAAGTGGCAGGAAACCACAGGCCCTTTGCTTTGGAAATGACGTGTTTGTAAATCAGTCTGCAGTGTTTGATTCTGGGAAACAGCACACACACAGATAGGGTTGGGAACTCCAGCCTGGGAGGTTCCTGGAGTCTTGGGGGGGGCAGCGTCCGGGTAGGGGGGGAGTTCAGGGAAGGATTCCACACAGAATCTATGGTAAACCATAGAGTAGGGGTGGCCAAAGTGCAGCTCAGCTCGGGAGCCACGTGCGGCTCTTTTGCACATATTGTGCAGCTCCCGGCAGGGCGGCTGGGGAAGCAAAGGGGAGGTATGCCTCCCCGATTGGTCTTCCCTTTCCCAGCCAGTGTTCCCCTCACTGGGTGGGCTGGAGGTGGGAAGGGGCAGGGAAAGAAAGAAACTTTAAATACGTTCTCAAAGCCCCCCCCCTCGCTGGCTTGGAGAAGGCCAGTTTGGTGTTGTGGTTAAGTGCGCGGACTCTAACCTGAGAGGACCAGGTTTAGGCTTGCCAAGTCCCCCCAGGGGGGCGGGGAAACCCCCGCCCCAGAGGCCCGTTCCCCGCTGGCGGCGGATCGGGCCCCAGGGGGAACCTCACCCCCAAAGCACGCGACGTGCACGTCACCCGGAACTGACGCGGGCACGCCGGGAACGCGGGGGGGGGGCTATAATCATCCGAGGGAAAAATCTATGGTGTGCCCGCGGATGTTCGTGGCCCCGCCCCCAGTGTGCCCGGTGTGGTTGCATCACTTCCGGGTGACGGGGTTGTGGCGTGCTCTTCGCACCTGCGCGCGCTCTCCCAAGGCAGCGCTAGAGTCCCCCGCTCCAGCGCCGCTTCTGACTTGGCAACAACCCGGGTTTGATTCCCCACTCCTCCGCTTGAAGCTCTTGGATGACCTTGGGCAAGCCACAGTTCTGTCAGAGCTGTTCTTGAAAAAGAGCAGTTTCTGTCAGAGCTCTCTCTGCCCCGCCTACCTCACAGGGTGTCTGTTGTGGGGGGGGGAAGGGAAAGGAGATTGTAAGCCGCTCTGAGACTCCTTCAGGTAGTGAAGGGCGGGGTATAAATCCAATCTCTTCTCTTCTTCTTCTTCTCCAAGCCAAGCCAGCTGGGGGGAGGGGTGGAGAATACATTTAAAGTTAAAGCGGCATGCTTTCCACCTCTTCCTTCTTCCCTCCCCATTTATTTGCTTTCTTTCCTCCCCCCCCCCCCGCTCCTGCAGAGTGCAGGGGGTTGGACTAGATGACCTGCAAGATCCCTTCCAACTCTAACATTCTATGACTCTCTCTCTCTGGCAAATAAATATCATTAGCAAACAAATAAATATCATTGGACAAATAATCATTATCAATATCTGTTTTGAACCCTCTTGTTCTTATTTTTGGCAGTCTCATTTAATGTTAATATAAAGCAAATCCGCATATTTTCCAGTAAGAAGGTGGGTGTAATATTTGTACATCTCTTGTGGCTCTCAAACACCTGACGTTTATTCTACGTGGTTCTTACATTAAGCAAGTTTGGCCACCCCTGCCATAGAGTCCAACCTTCAATGCTGCCATTCCCTCCGGAGCAGTGTTCCCTCTAATCTGAGCGAGTGTGAGCTAGCTCACAGTTTTTTAGCCTCCGGCTCACAGATTTTTGTCTTAGCTCAGGAAGGAGGGCTCCAGGGCAAACTAATCTATGCAGCAGCCAAATCCCTCACTCACAGCTTTAATGCCAGGAGCTCACCAAGCAGGATTTTTGCTCACAGGACTCCGCAGCTGAGAGGGAGCACTGCTAAGGAGCACCTGATCTCCACAGTCACGCCAGGCCTCACCTGGAAACTGGCAACCGTTCTCAAAGACCACTTTTTCCTCAACCGTTCCCCGTGTAGTGAAGACAGAGCTACATTTCCACCGGACGAGGATCCTGCAGGCCTGTGATGGCTTTGTAGGTGTATAGGGGATGATTTTTGAATGCCTCATTCTGGCCATTCCAGTTCTGAAACTACTCCCCTTTTGGATTTCAATCACTCCTCCCTTTGAGTGCACAGCTGTTCTTTGCCTCTGTACCGTTTTATGGTCCCTCTCGCAAGGTTCTGCCCTGCAAAGAATGCGTGCCTTTTTTCGCTGCGTATTAATAAATCAGCATTTCATGTATTGCAGTGTCCCCTCGGGGGGGGGGGGGAAATACCTACAAAGTGCATACAAGATACCAAGGTATCTACAAAGCCAACTGCAGAAAGAAGAGGATTCAAGCCCACCGACAACAATATAAACCAATATCCAAAGAAATGAAGAAGAAACATGAGCTTTAATATTTCTTTTTTTAAAAAATAGGAGCACTTCAGGCAAAATGATGTTACTATATCTATATTCCATTCCCCCCCCCAATTGAGGACTCAAGCTAACGAAGAAGAAGAAGAAGAAGAAGAGAAGAGATTGGATCTATACCCCGCCCTTCACTACCCAAAGGTGTCTCACAGCAGCTTACAAACTCCTTTCCCTTCCCCTCCCCACAACAGACACCGTGTGAGGTCGGTGGGGCTGAGAGAGCTCTGACAGAAACTGCTCTTTTTTCAAGAACACCTGTGCTAGAACTATGGCTTGCCCAAGGTCATCCAGCAGCTGCAAGTGGAGGAGTGGGGAATCAAACCTGGTTCTCCCAGATTAGAGTCCGCGCACTTAACCACCACACCAAACTGGCTCTTACAGCAGCATTTATCTTCCCCTGTTTTTGTCCTAACAACCACCCTGTGAGGTAGGTTAAGATGAGAGAGAAAGAATGGGCCAAACAAGGATACCAGCCTTCAAGTAGGACCCGGGGATCTCCCGGATCTCCCGGAATTGAAGCTCATCTCCAGACTACAGAGGTCAGTTCCCCTGGAGGAAAATGGATGCTTTGAGGGGGAGGGCAGATTCTATGGCATTGTGTCCCACTGAGGTTCAGGGATGCCAGCCTTCAGGTGGGACATGAGGATCCCCCGGAATTATGGCTCATTTCCAGACTACAGAGGTCAGTTTCCCTGGAGAAAACGCGTGCTTTGGAGGGTGGGTTCTCTGGCACTGTGCCCCATGGAGGTCCCTGTCTTCCCCAGGCCCCACCCCCAAATCTCCAGGAATTTCCCAAACTGGAGCTGGCAAACCAGTTTGGTGTCGTGGTTAAGTGCGCGGACTCTAATCTGGGAGAACCGGGTTTGATTCCCCACTCCTCCACTTGCACCTGGCTGGATGACCTTGGGCAAGCCGTAGTTCTGACAAGAGTTGTCCTTGAAAGGGCAGTTTCTGTCAGAACTCTCTCAGCCCCACCTTCCTCACAGGGGGTCTATTGTGGGGAGGGGAGGGGAAAGAAGTTGGTAAGCCACTCAGAGACTCCCTTGGGTAGTGAAGGGCGGGGTATAAATCCTATCTCTTCTCTTCTCTTCTCTTCTCTTCTCTTCTCTTCTCTTCTCTTCTCTTCTCTTCTCTTCTTCTTCGCCCTCCCACCTCCCAGCAGCAGCCAGGGGGACTGGACCACTCTAGGGCCGATTTACCCAGTATGCTTCCACGGCGGAAGTGGGGATTCGAACCTGGGTCTTCAGATCCTCGACTGACATTCTAATCGCCACAGAGCTACAGAACCTGTGTTTAAAAGCCTCCAAATACCATACTGTTGAAAGCAAATTTAAAAAGACTCTCCTGGAAGAAGAGAGCACGGTCTTGTGTTGGAGAGAGCCGGGGAACCATCTTTAATCAACCACAGTTCTCAGCTCTCTCTCTCTCTCTCTCTTTCATCTTCTCCCAACTCACACTGCTTGGCACCATTTCCCGATCTCTCCCCTTAGCTTCAGGGGCGTCACCTTTCCCCAGCTCCCATAAGCATCACACTCCGAAAACAAGACCGATAGACCGATAGACCGATGGACCGATAGATGATAGATAGATAGATAGATAGATAGATAGATAGATAGATAGATAGATGATAGATGATAGATAGATAGATAGATAGATAGATGATAGATAGATAGATGATAGATAGATAGATGATAGATAGATAGATAGATAGATAGATAGATAGATAGATGATAGATAGATAGATAGATAGATAGATAGATGATAGATAGATAGATAGATGATAGATAGATAGATGATAGATAGATAGATAGATAGATAGATAGATAGATAGATAGATAGACAGACAGACAGACAGACAGACAGACAGACAGACAGACAGACAGACAGACAGGGGGGGGGGTTGCCAGCAATCTGGAGACCATCTCCCATCTTGAACTCCCGCTGTTGAAAATAAACCTCTTCTCCCTGAGGCCTCTAGAAAACTGTCAGATGATCTTCCCAGCATCTGTTATTAGTATTTTATACCAACAGCACATCGTTTACAGTGCTTATTTCTGCTGTACTGTTCCTAAGCTTGTTTTCCATAACTGACCCAAATTCTGAGACGCCTCGAAGGCATCGGGCTTACATAAGAACGCAGGAAGAGCCCTGCTGGATCAGACCAGGGGTCCAGCTAGTCCAGCAACTCTGTTCCATGCAGGGGCCAACCAATTAGAGGGCCAACGACAGGACAGAGAGGCTGAGGCCTTCCCTGAGAAGAACATAAAAAGAGCCCTGCTGGATCAGACCAATGAGGGTCCATCTAGTCCAGCATCCCGTCTCACACAGGGGCCAACCAGTTCCTCTGGAGGGCCAACAACAAGGCACAGAGGCCAAGGCCTTCCCCTGATAAGAACATAAAAAGAGCCCTGCTGGATCAGACCAGTGGCCTGTTTCACATGATAATCAATCAATTGCCTGGAGGGCCAAAGAAACAGGGCATAGCGGCCAAGGACCTTCCTCTGATGTTGCCTTCTAAATCTGACCTTCTGGGATTTAGTGCCTCTGGGAATGGAGGTTCTCTTTAGCCACTGTGTCTAACAGCCATTGATGGTCCTATCTTTCAAAAATGGTTCTAATTCTCTTTGTAAGCCATCCATGCTCATAGCCATCACTATATCCACTAGGAGTGAACCCCCCAATTTAATTACTCACTGGTAAACACACACATAAACATATGAAGCTGCCATATACTGAATCAGACCCTTGGTCCATAAGGTCAGTCATGTCTACTCAGACTGGCAGCAGCTCTCCAGGGTCTCAGGCGGACATCTTTCTTATCACCTCCTTCCTGGTCCTTCTAACTGGAGATGCCGGGGATTGAACCTGGGACTCTCTGCATGCCAAGCAGAAGTTCTACCGCTGAGCCACAGCCCCTCCCTAAAGAAGTATTTCCTTTTGTCTTTCCTGAATCTATTGCCCGTCAACTTCATCCAGCATGCCCTGACTTCTAACACAAAATCCAGAAAGAACAAAAAAAGGCTTTGTCAAGAAGATAGTCTCATGGGCTTCCAGAGGGAGAACGTTCCAGAAGACAGGAGTCACTCCAACTATTAATCTAATGAATGAAGAGGTACCTGGAGTGAGCACTGACCTGGATGGCCCAGGCTAGCCTGATATCATCGGATCTCAGAAGCTAAGCAGAGTTGGCCCTGGTTAGTACTTGGATGGAGACCACCAAAGAAGTCCAAGGTTGCTGTACAGAGGCAGGCAATGGCAAACCACCTCTGTTTTTCTTTGGCATGACCTGGATGGCCCTGGTGAGTCCAACCTTGGCAGCACTCAGAAGCTAAGCAGCGTTGGCCTTGGTTAGAACTTGGGTGGGAGACCACCAATGGTGACCAGTGTTACTATACAAAGACAGGGAATGGCAAACCACTTCTGTTTGCCTCTTGCTTTGAAAACTCTATGGGGTTGCAGATCAAATCAGTCAATCTTAAAAGAAATCAACCCTGACTGTTCCCTGGAAGGCCAGATACTGAAGCTGAAGCTCAAAAATATGGCCACCAGATGAGAAGGGAGCACTTGCTGGAGAAGACCCTGAGGCTGGGAAAGATCGAAGGTCAAAGAAGAAGGGGACAGCAAAGGATGAGATGGTTAGACAGTGTTATTGATGCAACGAACATGGAATTAAGCAAACTCTGGAGCACAATGGAAGACAGGAGGGCCTGGCACAATGTGGTCCATGGGGTCACGAAGAGTTGGACTCAACTGTGCGACCGAACAACAACAACAAATTCCACAACCACCTGGACAAGGGCCCCTTGGATGGTAAGTATTTTAATGTTTAAGATTTATAACCAGCCTTTCAACTTGAAAAGGTAACCAGGGTGCCTTCAAAATTACAATAAAGGAATAACAAAAGATGAATAAGATACCTGTTGAGAAAGCCATAAAAGCAAGAAGACAGAAGAAAAGACACATAGTTCAAAATGGGAGTAAAAAGCCATTGCAACGCCTAGCCAGATATTGCCTCAGTTATTGAAAGAAAAATCGAAATCCACCATATCGAGAAACTAAAAGCCAGGGGGGAAAATTTCAAGCATATCATATGGCAGAAACACAACAACCTTTCTTTGGAGGTTGAGGAGAGGATTTTGGAATGCACTCTTAAAGACCCTAAGGAAATGAGCCATATTATTTTTTTATTTTATTTTACTGAAAGATCACTGGACGTTCAACTAGTTCCAGATAACGTTGACACACGTTGCCAAGAAGTTGTTCCCTTCCAATCACCTGAGAAGGACTGCCAAAGGTTTTTGGGAGCTTGTCAACTATTTGAGGCAGAAAGGGGAAAGTCAACTCCAACTTGATGTTTTCTAACTATGTAAAAGGATTCATTGAAATGTTTGCAGGATAGCATATATGGAATATTCCAGAATTGTTCTGCAAAATCTCGTCACGGAACCCTACAGACGTTGAACCAACTGGATTGAAAACCGCTCTGAAATCTCATAGGATCATCACTCAAAATCCTAAACCGGGTGAAGAATTCTCTGATCCCAAAGGTACAAGCAGACAAACGGGATGGCCAGTTTCTAATCCCTCCAGAACCAAATCAGTCTGGGAGTACGATCGACCGATGTCCTCCCCCTAGCAGGAAAAGGTGAGATCTGAAGCTAGGCAGATTTCTTTCACCCCTTCCAAAATAGGGGTTGGATCTAGGGAGGCCACATCTCCTGCTTTGTTGGGAGTCCAATCTAGGGATGCCAATCTCCAGGTAGCACCTGAAGATCTACTACTACAATTGATCTCCAGATGACCAAGACCAGTTCCCCTGGAGAAAGTGGCTGGTCTGGGGCATGGACTCTATGGCATTGTGCCCGGCTGAGGTCCCTCCTCTGACCAAACACTGCTCTTTCTAGGCTCCAACCCCCAAAGCTCCAGGTATTCCCCAGCCCAGAGCTAACAACCCTAAGTCCTATCGCCCTCCACTAGCTGTGCCTGCCGCCACTAAGCTGGGCAGTGGGGGGGGGAATCAGGAGGACATGGGGGGTTGACTGGAATTGTGCTGATGCCATGATGTCATTCCCAATGCAACCCAGGACATCACAATAGGTGACACTCTAGCCTAGCATTTACCCGTCTGTGGTTAAATCATGGAGTGTGGAGTGAATGCTTGAGCATCGCCTCTACATAAGGATGTAAGAAGAGCCCTGCTGGATCAGACCAGTGAGGGTCCATCCAATCCAGTATCCCGTCTCACACAGTGGCCAACCAGTTCCTCTGGAGGGCCAACAACAGGACACAGAGGCCAAGGCCTTCCCCTGATAAGAACCTCAGAAGAGCCCTGCTGGATCGGACCAGTGGTCCATCCAGTCCAGCATCCTGCCTCACACTGTGGCCAGCCAGTTCCTCTGGAGGGCCAACAACAGGGCAGAGAGGCCAAGGTCTTCCCCTGATAAGAACCTCAGAAGAGCCCTGCTGGATCAGACCAGTGGTCCATCCAGTCCAGCATCCCGTCTCACACAGCGGCCGACCAGTTCCTATGGAGGGCCAACAACAGGACATAGAGGCCAAGGCCTTCCCCTGATAAGAACCTTAGAAGAGCCCTGCTGGATCAGACCAATAGTCCATCTAGTCCAGCATCCTGTCTCTCATAGTGGCCCAACTAGTTCCTCCGCAGGTCCAACAACAGGGCACAGAGGCTGAGGCCTTCCCCTGATAAGAACTTCAGAAGAGCCCTGCTGGATCAGACCAGTGAGGGTCCATCTAGTCCAGCATCCCATCTCACACAGGGGCCACCCAGTTCCTCTGCAGGTCCAACAACAGGGCAGGGAGACTGAGGCCGTCCCCTGATAAGAACCTCAGAAGAGCCCTGCTGGATCAGACCAGTGAAGGTCCATTTAGTCCAGCATCCTATCTCATACAGTGGCCAACCAGTTCCTCTGGAGGGCCAACAACAGGACACAGAGGCCAAGGCCTTCCCCTGATAAGAACCTCAGAAGAGCCCTGCTGGATCAGACCAGTGAAGGTCCATTTAGTCCAGCATCCTATCTCATACAGTGGCCAACCAGTTCCTCTGGAGGGCCAACAACAGGACACAGAGGCCAAGGCCTTCCCCTGATAAGAACCTCAGAAGAGCCCTGCTGGATC